TTGCCTTATGGAATATCATGTTCCATGCCCTGCTCTTTTAATGTAGAAGCTGCAAGGTCCTGTGTAATCCTGACTGTGGTTCCATGATATTTAAATTGTTTCTTTCTGGCTGCTTGCAGCACCTTCTCTTTCATCTGGTAATTTTGGAATTTTGCTATTATATTCCTTGGCATTGTCAATTTGGGATCTCTTTCAGGTGGTGATCGGTGGATTCTTTCTATGGTTATTTTCCCTTCTGGTTCTAGGACTTGGGCAGTTTTCCTTTATGATTTCCTGAAAGATACTGTCCAGGCTCTTTTTTCATCATGATTTTCAGGTAGTCCAATAATTTTTAAATTGTCTCTCCTGAGTCGATTTTCCAGGTCGTTGTTTTACTGATGAGGTATTTTACATTTTCATTTTTTTCATTTTTTTGTTTCTGTTTGACTGATTCTTGCTCTCTCATAGAGACATTAGTTTCCATTTGTCCAATTCTAGTTTTTAACAGATTGTTTTCTTCTGTTAGTTTTTGTACTTCCTTCTTCAATTGGCCAATTGTGTTTTTTAGGGACTTGTTTTCTTCAGTGTATTTTTTTTCCAATTGGCCAATTGTATTTTTGAAGGACTCTTTACCTCTCTCATTTGACTATTAAAATCCTTCTTGAGCTCTTCTAAGAAGGCTTTTTGGGCTTCAGACCAGTTCATATTCCCTTTTGTTGTTGCAGATGTGGGTTTGTTGACAATGCTGTCCTCTTCAGAATTTCTGTCTTGATCTTCACTCTTCTCATAATACGAATCTATGGTATGTTTCTTTTTACTCATGGTGTTTCTTTATTCCCTGGCCTTTAAAGAGATTGAGCTCTCCTGCTGGGGAACAGAGGGTACTGACCCAAGCTTCTTGTGTTGGGAGCCTAGGTCTTGGTCACTGGCTTTGTGTGCTGGGGCCTCTTATGCTGGCAATTGGAGGCTGTAGGTTTCTGGCAGCTTACCTGTGTTGGGCTGGAATCAGCAAGGCTGGAACTTTCAGGCAATTCTAGGTTGCCTGCTTTTCCTTTCCTTTAGCTTTCTTCAGCTCCTTTTAGATGGGTGCTGCAGGGTGTTTATCTGCCTGGGGCCCCCTGCAGTGTTGTCTCCCTCATTTCTGCTAATGCAGGAGATTCCTTTGCGGTGGAGTGCCAAGGCTCCTGGTGGTTTTCTGAGCTGGGTTCCACCGGTTTCCCCACCCTCACTGAGGTACTTGGAAGTCCAGGTGTTGGTGTTTGTCTGCTCTACCACCTGGGCTTCAGGATTTCGTCACAATTGGAGGCTTCAGGGCTCCTAAGGCTCACCTGGTGTTGGGTTGGAATTAGCAAGACTGGGGCTTTAGGAAGCCTTTAGGTTGTTTTCTTCACCTCCTTTCAGATGAATGCCACAGGGTACTTGTCTGCCTGGGGCCCCTTGTAGTTCTCCCTTATTTTGCCGAGTCACTGGGAGACCCGTTTGCTGGGCTGCTGCACTGCTGCTCCTCGTCTTTCTTCTAGTTCAGGTGTTTCACCGTTTTTTTTCTGTGGTGATATTTTCTGGGTTTTCAGAGGTTGATAGGGGAGAGTGAGAGCGACTACCTTTTCACTCCACCATCTTGGCTCCTGGAAGCGGAAGTTCCTAACATGTTTCTTGTAAACAACATATTGTAGGATTATGGTTTTTAATCAACTCTGCTATCTGCTTCCATTTTATGGGACAGTACATCCCATTCACATTCACAGTTATGATTCCTACCTGTGTACTTCTTCCTATTTTTTTTCCTACTTACACTTTTTTGCCTCTTTTCACCATATCCCTCCTTGCCAGTGTTTTACTTCTGACCACTGCCTCTATCAATCTGTCCTCCCTTCTACCAGCCCTCCCTCCATTTTATTTCTGCTTTTTCCTTTTACTTCTCTATAGGGAAAGATAAATTTCTAAACCCCACTGAGTGTGCATGTTATTCCTTCTTTGAGCCAAATCTAATGCTAACCTCCCCCTTTTCTTACCTTCTACTGTAATAAGTCTTATGCAACTATTCATGTGATGTAATTTATCCTATTTTCCTCCCCCATTTCTTTTCTTTCAGTACAATCCTTTTTTCACTCTTTAATTTTTCTATATCTTCATATCAAAGTCAACTTATACCCATACCCTCTATCTATGCACATCCCTTCTAATTTCCCTAATAGAGATACAGTTCTCAAAAGTTAAAAGGATCATCTTCCCATGTAGGGATTTAAATGGTTTAACCATATTGAACAATGTATTGTTTCTTTTTTCTTTCTTGTTTACCTTTTTCTGCTTCTCTTGAATCTTGTATTTGATGATCAAATTTTTTTGTGTAGCTCTGGTCTTTTCATCAGGAAAGTTTGAAAGCCCCCTACTTCATTGAATATCCAACTTTTTTTGCCTTAAAGATTATGCTCAGTTTTGCTGCATGGTTTATTCTGGGTTGTGATCCAAGGTCCTTTCCCTTCTAAAATATCATATTCCATGCCCTTTGATCCTTTGATGTAGAAACTGTTAAATACTAAGAAATCTGAATGTGGCTCCTTGATAACTGAAATGTTTTTTTTCAAGGCTCTTACAGTATTTTTTCCTTGATCTAGTAACACTGGAATTTGACTACAATATTCCTTGGAATTTTCATTTTGGAATCTCTTTTAGGAAGTGATCAGTAGATTCTTTCAATAATCATTTTACCCTCAGATTCTGGTATATCAGGACAGTTTTCTTTGATAATTTCTTGAAAGGTACTGTCCATGTCCTGATTTTGATTATGGCTTTCAGGTAATCCAATGATTCTGACACTGTTTTCTTAGATCTATATTTCAGGTCAGCTGTTTTTTCCAATGAGGTACTTTACTTTCTCTATTTTTCATCTTTTGAATTTCTTTGATTCAGTCTTGATGCCTCACAGAGTCATTAGCTTCCACCTGACCCATGCTAACTTCTAAGGAGTGTTTTCCTCAAATAGCTTTTCTATTTTCTTTCTTATTTGGCCAATTGTACATTTTAATGAATCGTTTTCTTCAGTGGATTTTTGTATCTTCTTTTCATCTGGTCAATTCTATTTGTTGAGCAGTTGTTTTCATTATCCAGACTGTTGACTCTTTTTTCATAATTCTCTTGCATCACTCTCAAGTCTATTTCCAATTTTTCTTCAGCCTTTCTTATATTATTTTTTTAGATTGTATATTTTTTTAAATTAATTTATTTATTTTTAGTTTTCAACATTCACTTTCAAAAGATTTTGAGTTCCAAATTTTCTCCCCATCTTATCCCTCACCCCACACCAAGATAGCATGCATTCTGAATACCCCTTCTCCTAATCTGCCCTCCTTTCTATCTCCCCCCCTTCTCTTATCCCCTTCCCCTTCTATTTTCCTATAGGGCAGGATAGATTTCTATACCCCATTGCCTGTATATCTTATTTCCCAGTTGCATGGGAAAACCACTATTTTAACATTTCTTTTTAAAACTTTGGGTTCCAAATTTTCTCCCCTCCTCCCACCTCACCCACCCTCATTGAGAAGACAAGCAAATCGATACAGGTTATACATGTGTAGTCTCATACTATTTTTAAACTCCTTTGTGAGCTCTTCCATGCATTCTTTCTGGGCTTGAGAGAACGTCCTGTTTTTGGAGGGTTTTCTCCATGAATGTTTTGACATTTTGTCCTCTTCTGAGTTTGTGTCTTGGTCTTCTCTGTCACCATAATAACTTTCTATGGTTAAGTATTTGTTTGGTTGTTTTTGGCTCCTCTTTTTAGTACTTTTTCCTTTCTTTTAAATTTGAGCTCCACTCCCAGGGAGGAAGGGGCACTGTCTCAGGCTTCCCTCACTGTTTACCTGGTAGTGAACTGATGTTGCCCTGAGGCCCATGAGAGATCCTCATATCTGGTGCACTGAGGGGGAAAAGTAGGGGGTGGCTGCTAGAGACCAATAGGGTCTGGAATCTTACTTGGTGCAGAGCTGGGGTCCCAGTGGTGGTGTCTTGCATATGCTGAGTCCAGTGGGGTGTTTCTCCTTTTCCCTGGGGGCTACACTGAAGTACATAGAGATCAAGCCTCTGGAGACTGCTTGTTTACCTTAGGCTGTTCTGTAACACATGGAGGTCTGACCTCTGAAGGATGCCAGTTTCCCCAGGGCTATGCTGAGACAGATGATGGTAAATTAGTGCTGAGCTGTCTGATTAGGCACCCACAGGGCTAGTGACTGTCCGTTTGGCCAAGATTATTGCTGAAGCAGGTGGCAGTGGCTGAATACTCTGCTTGCTGTTTGCTTACATATCTGTAGGGCTGCCATCTACATATTTGCCCAGGGCTGTGCTGAAGCAAGTAAATGTCTGTTCACTGGAGGATGCCTGTTTTCCCATAGCTACACTGTAGTACATGATGATTCCCACAGCTGGAGTCTGCTGCTTCCCCTGGCAAAGGGGAGGCACATGGGGGAGGTCGTCCTGCTGCTTATGAAAATTATGGGAAAAGTCAGGGGTAACAGCTGTTACCTCACCTGGAAATTCTTGTGCCAGTTAAATCACAGGTCTCCTAGCTATTCTCCAGATCTCTGAGGGCAGATGGCTCAAAAGGAAATTCTCTTTGAATCAATGTCTAAATCTTCCAGAGAATATTGATAACACTGACAACCACTAAGGCAGCATTTAGTGTAAAATGTTCAGTCTCTAAGACTTGTTAATGGAACCCTTTATGAAAAGAGGGCCTAATTACTACTATACACTTCATTCTATAACACTAAAGGAAAATTGCATTATAACTTATCTTTGGGAAATCTAAGGTCTCACAAAGAATCACAATATCCTACACCTTGAATTGAAAGTCCAAATCTCTCATTTAACACATGAGGAAACTGAGGCCAAAGGAGAATAATTGACTTGCCCAAAGTTACATATGTAATAAGCATCAGAACTGGCATTTGTACCAAAGTCTACTGAGCCAAGAGCAAATGCTGTTTCCACAGTGCAAAGAAAGTAATGGTAAACTTATAGAAACTCACTTTACGATAAGAAAGAAGATTTCCAAGGAAAGGAAGAGGTGCTGGTCCCGGAATTCCCATGTCCTTAAAGAGCCTGTGTGTCCAGGTCCCATATCTATAAAGTGAAGGGGAAAAATACAGAGACATTAGAATCAAGGCAAAGACCAAAGACATAAATGGCATAATCCACTTGCCAGTAATCAGAAGGAGAGGAGCTATAAAGGTAACTCTGAGGTAAGCCTTTGTTCTCTCAGAGCCAGATGCCAACTGGGCACTTCCAGAAATGTTTCATGGCTCCCACAAACATCCTTAGACATTACAACACCAGGCTGAAAGTCCTTAAAGTCCCACCTGAGACTCAGTAAGGCCAGAGACAACACATTAGGTGTAGTCAGGTTTGACAAACCTTGAGTAAACCATTGCTGCTGGAATAAAATGTCCCTCCATCTGGACATATTTCATCATTACTAGAGCTTAACTCTACTGTGTAATGACTAAGACCAAGTCTCTGTTGCCAGACTTGACCCAGTCTGGGCTCAATACACCATACATATACATCCAAGGCAGCTCAGTATATGTACCTCAGACATGAAGGCCTTCTCTCCAGGACCCAACCAAAATGTGGTGCCTCAGCCACCAGACCACTCATCTTTAGAACCAGAGTACCAGACACCACAATCACAATTTCCAACTCAACTTAATGACCCAACCCAACACCAAAGACTTAGATACCACATCTCTTAGTGTTAGGACCTTATATGCAGGAATAGCTATTTATTCCTAATATTCCTCCCTCCTTGATACTAAAAAGAGAAATGACTGTTGCTATGCCTAGCATTCTCTTACTATTTACTCTTTCAATTCATACAGAGTTCTCTGATGACTAAGCAAAATATAGATATACTGGTTCTGGTAAGGGGTTAATATACTCATTCTTCACTTCTTATTACTACTCCCAGACCCTTCCTAAGGCACCACTTACTAAGCTGTCCTCCTTTGAATTTCACTCTTCCCAGATACATCTTACCCAATCCAGTTCTGGAGGCAGTTACATACTGGATTACAGCTGTCTTTTATCAAACACTTCAGATGCTGGCTCACTCTTCCTCTTCAACCTGACCTTACCATTATGCTAGGTGACATAAATATTAAGTTACTCCCCTAAATACTCTGACCTCCCTACTCCTTAACCTCAACTTCCATGTCTTGTTTCTTCATTTCCCATCAGTCACTTCGAAGAATAATAGCAACCATAATTTCATTATCACCTCAAATATTCCACTTTTATGGTCAAAGATGCTAAAATTTCTCTGTCTGAACACATCTTATGATTTCTTTTCTCTCAACATCTTATGTTTCATAATCTTATTATTCTTCTTTGCCTCAAACTCTTGTACCTGAACCACAAGCATTTGGTATCCTCTTAGCCTCTGGCTTTGCTTTTTTTGATAAAAATCATAATTTTATATTAGCAAGTATTGGCTAACCTCCCTACATCCTCTTCACACACACACACACACACACACACACACACACACAGAGTGAAGAGAAAAAGGGAAACAAAATCTAACAAATGAACAGTCCTGAAAAACACATCCCCACATTGTCCATATCTAAAAATATATGCCTCCCTCTTAATAGTTAGTCATCACCTCTAACAGGAGATGCAGAGCATTCTAAATTATTAATCATTTGGACTCATGGTTAATTATTATGACGCTCAGAGTTCTAGGATTTTAAAACTTGACTACTTCAAAAAACATTAGAACATTAATTATTCTTTTGGTTCTGGTCATTTTTGCTTGTATTCAGTTCAAAGTGAGGTTCAAATCATACCCTTCCCACATCCTTCTTCATTTCTTTGAATTATTAATACAATTCTACTTAAATTTCTACTTTGAATTCTACTCCAATATTGGCATATGTCTCCTCCATTCCTCTTCTTTTCTTCTCCAGTATATTCTTTCTCTCCTCCCTTTCCTTTCTCCTTTAATATCATCAAAACATTACAAAAATTACTTACAAGATCTCCATCTTATCTGGCCCTTCTGTGACTTCTTCTGCCACTATAGTTCTTAGCAGATACTGCATTCTATCTCTTACCCAATTGGAATGCAAACACTTCATCCCTAAGAGACTTCATTCTTCTCCAGTTGCTCACCTTACTATCTCTTTACACTCAAATGTCTAGTTTAAACTTTCTACTTTATTCTGGTCTTTTCTTCAAGAATACTTGAAAGTTTTCTATTTCATCATCAATCCTTTTTCCTGGAATATAATTAAGCTCAGTTTTACTGGGTAAGTTATTCTTAGTTTTAAGTGCATGTCTTTTGTTTTGGGGAACACCATTTACCACACTTTCCTCTTCCCTTTAATGTAAGCTGCTAAATATTACCAGATCCTGTCTCTGGCTACTTATAACTTAAATTCTCTCTTTCTCAGTATTTGCAATAGTTGCTTTCCTTTAGAACCTTTGCATATTAGTTCTGACATTCCCAGAGGTTTTCATTTAGGCATCTCATTCCAGAACTGTGGCAAATCCTTTCAATTTTTACTTTGCCCTCTAGTTAAATGAAATCTGAGAAGTTTTCTCTTCTGATTTCCTGAAACATGATTTCCGACCTCTTTTTTCTGGTTATCACTTTCAAGTAGAAATTTGATTCTTAAAACATTTCTTCTTGCTACTGTTTCTGGGAGCCAAGATGGCAGAGTGAAAAGGTAGTTGCTCTCACCCTCCCCTATCAACCTCTGAAAGCCCAGAAAATATCACCCCAGGAAAAACCCTGGAATAGCTGAACCAGAAGAAATGAAGGCAGCAGCAATGCAGAAGCTCAGGTAATTTGAGGGATTAACTGGAAAGGCCTTTCTTGCTCTGGGGGAAGCAGGGCAGTACAAAATGGGAGGCATCCCAGCAAGCTAGCAGAAAGCCCCACTTTAGCACACCAGAAGCAAATCCTGAAACCCAGGTGGTGGAGCAGGCAAACACCAAAACCTGGACCTCCAAGTGCCTCAATGAGGGTGAGGGGAACCTGTGGGAGCCAGCTCAGAAAACCACTAGATGCCTTGGCATCCTATAGCAAATGGGTCTCCCAGTGCCTCAGCAAACATAAAGGAAGCAGCACTACAAAGGGCCCCAGGTGGGTAAACACTCTGCAATATCCATCTTAAAGGAGCTGAAAAAAATGAAAGGAAAGGAAAAAGCAGGCAACCTAGAGTTGCCTGAAAGTTCCAGCCTTGCTGATACCAGTCCAATACCAGGTAAGTTGCCAGAACCCTACAGCCTCCAATTGCCAACATCAGAGGCCCCAGCACACAAAGCCAGTGACCAAGACCTAGTCTCCCAACACAAGAAGCTTGGGTCAGTGCCCTCTGCTCCCCAGCAGGAGAGCTCATTATCTTTAAAGGCCAGGGAATAAGGAAACACCATGAGTAAAATGAAATACACCACAGATGCATATCATGAGAACAGTGAAGATCAAGGCACATATTCTGAAGAGGACAACATTATCAACAAACCCACATCTGCAACCTCAAAAGGGAATATGAACAGTTCTGAAGCCCAAAAATCCTTCTTAGAAGAGCTCAAGAAGGATTTTAAAAATCAAATGAGAGAAGTAGAAGAGTCCTTAAAAAATACAATTGACCACCTGGGGGAAAAAAGTACACTGAAGAAAACAATTCCCTAAAAAATACAGTTGGCCAAATGGGGAAAGAGGTACAAAATCTAACAGAAGAAAATAATTTCTTAAAAATTAAAATCATGTAAATAGAAGTGAATGACCCTATGAGAGAGCAATAATCAGTCAAACAGAAATTAAAAAATGAAAAAGAAGTAGATGAAAACATAAAATACCTCATTGGTAAAACAACTGACCTGGAAAATCAATCTAGGAGAGACAATTTAAAAATTATTGGTCTACCTGAAAATCACAATAAAAAAAGAGCTCGGATAGCATCTTTCAGAAAATCATAAAGGAAAACTGTGCTGAGGTTCTAGAACCAGAAAGCAAAATAGCCATAATAAGAATCCACTGATCACCTCCTGAAAGAGATCCCAAATTGAAAATGCCAAGGCATATAGTAGCCTAATTCCAAAATTACCAGGTGAAATAGAAAATACTGCAAGCAACCAGAAAGAAACAATTTAAATATCATGGAACCACAATCAGGATTACACAGGACCTTGCATCTTCTACATTAAAAGACCGTAGGGCATGGAACATTATATTCTGTAAGGCAAAGGAGCTTGGATTACAACCAAGGATCAACTACACAGAGAAAAGGAGCATGATTTTTCAGGGGAGGAGATGGATATTCAACAAAATATGGGATCTCCAAACCTTCCTGATAAAAAGACCAGAGCTCAACAGAGAATTTGATTTTCAAGGACAAGATTCAAGAAAGACATAAAAAGGGAAATGGGACAGAAATATATAATATGTTGTTAATAAGGGTGGAGTGTTTACATCTGTACAAGGGAAAATGACACTTGCAACTCTTAAGAACTGTATTGTTGTTACACCATGTTAAAGGAGTATACATGAAGAGGGTGGATATCTGTTGACTTTGATGTAATGATAAAAAAAATTAATCAAGTGTGTTAAATGGATCCAAATAAGTGCATTAATCTGATCTTAGAAAATGTACTTAAAAGAAGGAGACAGACAAGGGTCAATTACATTACAGGAAAAGACAGAAAATCCTAATACAGCAGAGGGAAAGAAGGGAGGGGGTGAGCATTGTTTGAACCTTGCTGTCGTCAGATTTGGCTCAAGAAGGGAATAACATAGTTAGATATAGAAATCTAACTTGCCCTATAGGCAGTAGGAGGGAAAAGGGGAAAGAAAAGGGAAGGGGGACAGAAGGGAGGGAAGAAGCAGTAAGGGTAAAGGGGAAGAAAATGGAAAGGGATAATAAGGACTGAAGGAGGCAGTGGTCAAAAGCAAAAACACTATTGGAGGTGGGGAGGATGGAGAAAGGAGAAAGAAAAGTATAACCGGGGGGGTAAGGGATGGATGGAGAAAAAGACACAGATAGTAATCGTAACTGTGAACGTGAATGGGATGAAGTCTCCCATAAAATGGAAATGGATAGCAGAATGGATTAAGAACCATA